CTTTTTTTTTTTCTTTGAGCCGCCAAGCCTGGACTTGAGAATGATGAACTTAGGATTTGTTTTTAGATGCTCTGATAGCTGTTGGAGTGGCTAGAATCAGTAGATAGAAAGTAAAATAAGCTTAGTCATCATTTTAGAACTATAGCAGCTGTAGGTGCGCACTGTAGTATTGGAGACCAAGATTTGAAGTCTTATACTGAGCAGTCTTTTCCTGTTAAGAACAAAATCATTACTGAGAAATAATTGTCTAAATAACATTTTACCTGGACTCAAGTCTAATGTCTGGGAAATATAATCCTTTGGACTCTTAAAGAAATATACTTAATATTTTAATTTTTGGTTATACTTTCCTTTTAGGTGTTCAAGACCATACAGTTGGCCCAAATAAACCATTTTACTGTTACTTTAAGGTCGGTTGAGGATCTGGTCCTCAGGGGTCACGTGGACTTGGCAGGGAGCCCCTGGCTCCTTAGACTTTCTTTTACCAGTTCCATCTACATGAAAATAAGAGGTCCTGCTCGACCCAGGTTTCACTTGGAAGCATGGAGGAAATGTTTCCTCTGTGCTGACCCTCCTCTTTGCATACTGGATGCTGGCTTGAGTCTCCTTGACCTCCCTGAACAAGAGGACAGGTGACTCATCACAGTTACAGGACATACCAAGAGATTCCCATAGTCCCCTGGGATACTGTTGACCTTCCAGGGCAAGGAGCAAAACTGTCCCTTAAGTCCATTTAGTATGGGCCTCTAAGTATGGTTATTAACCATCCAAGAAGGTCAGTTGTACCAGCCTGGTACCTTTAATTACTGTGTAATATATAGATAAAGTTTGAACAAAACCCAAACATTCTCAATAAACATTGACTGGAAGAGATTTACCATCACAGGTTAACTAGGCACAGCCCAGGAAAGAGACCTTAAAACAAGAATTTCTTAAGTCTGCCTCAAATGAAGTCTGTTCTATTACAAACAGAAGCAGTCTCCATTTAGTTTTCTATATCCTGATTTAGTTTTCAGAAGGAGGGGGGCATAATATCACATACCTATGAACAGGAAATAAACTGCTCAGAATTCAGAATAAGCTTCACAGAAACTGTTTTCTTCTAGATTGCATACACCTGGTTCAAGGAAGTAGCTCTAGGTTTTGAGTTTACAGTTTTTGGAAGGAAAGGAGGCATTATATCATATACCTATCGACAGGAAATAAACATCAGGATTCAGACCAAGCTTCACAGAAACTGTTTTCTTCTAGATTGCACACATCTGGTTCCAGGAGGTAGACCTAGTTTTTCTTGAGTCAAATCATTCTTGTTATGGGTAAAAGAAAGTGTCAAAACTAACATTTGCACAATACAGAGAAACATAAAAATAAACCTTTACTAGACATCCTTAAACTGATTGACTGAGTTATGCCCTCAAGATTGTCTGTTCTATTATTGATAAATCATAACAAACCTACACAGACCTTTATTACTTGCTTAGGCTTTCTCATTTTTTTTTCCCTTTTGTTAATTCTGGAAATATCCAGCCATCATAATCTTCATTCATAAATCCTTCTTAGTAAAATATCTCCATTCCCATATCCTTTTAATATCTTTTAACTTTGTATTTT